ATTTAAAAAAAAGGGCGGGAAAAATACGGAACGTTGGAAGCGCGCGATTAAACCAGGAAAACGCGAATTAATGCCGAGAGAAAGGGGGAACGTGCAGGTCGAGTCGTATGGTTTTTTTTTAATTGACAACGAACGAAGTAATTATCTATTTTTTTTTTTTTTTTCGTTTATTTAATCTTGAAGAAATGAAATTAACAGATCCAGAGGGGTGTACGTATAAAAATACATGATGTGATATACGAGCGAAGACACGAATTACAGAATAAGCGACATTTTCACACACATTCCAGAAAACGGAACATTACGGCTCTCGCGAGAGATGAGCTTCCAGAAATCGCTTCTAAAAAAAAAAAAAAAAAAAAAAAAATGGCAACGTGCAGCAATATTGAAGAGTCGTAGGACGAAAGATAACATGCACATATTGTTAACGAAATTTGATAGAAACGTGAAATCGTCAATGGCCCTACGACTCTTCAGCGAGCTATTCATTTTCAAAATGGCGATTATTCTGTCCTGATGGCAGAAGAATCAGAAAAATGACGAGCATCCGAGATAATGGATATATAAATCTTCCCGACAGTTAGCATCGATCTTTCCAAGCCCGTTGAAACGCAAGTTTCCCGATTTAAAAAAATTGAAAGTGGCGCGTGCCACTTTCGAAATAAACGGCTCGCTGAATTGGCGGTGTATCGGTCGAGTTCGCGTGGCAGCGTACATTAGGCAGGTTGTAATCGCTATCGATAAACAGATGAGATTCCTTTCTAGCTGACGCAGTGAGAGAGGAATGTACAGTGTCAACCTCCTTTCGATATAACTCGCACCGTGTTGTACCGAAACTTGGAATACTTAGAAACATCGTGATGGAAATATTCGGCCCAACACGAGCGTTGTCCAGGTTCATTCGAACAAATTAAAATTGCTATATTGTAAAAAAGTTTTGCAGGACTTTTGTGTTCTTAGACGGTTGACTGTACACGCTACTTATAATCAAGATTTTGTCATTCGTTTGAATGTTTTTTTAACACTAGAACTACCAAAAGTGGTCAAAATGTGGTCAATTTATAATGTTTGTTAGAAATCTTATAAGCATAAAACAGTGTATTTAAATAATTTTTCGTAAAATATATAAGTAAAAGTTTATAATATAAATAATATAATATAATATAATGTAATATAATATAATATAATATAATATATTATAATATAAATAAAAGTTTATGTACTCTCCATCATATTATAAAGTTCTTCTATCTTTTTTTTGGACTTCAGTATCTCCGATGTCGAACAAATTTTATGTTTCAATTGTCGATAGTTCTAGTATTAAAGATATTGCAGAATTTGTTATAGAAAGTTATTTCGCATAATCGCAATTTATCTTGACGTACAATGATTTCTTAAGGACTATTGAATTATTAATTTGCTCTGTCATTATTTTTTTTATTAATTTTGTTTATAAGTATCGTGTTCATACATATTTCGCAGTATAAATATAAGAGTATGAAAATTATTTTCGTTCAGTTTGAAACTAAAATTCGTATGTCAAGAGATTAACATACCCCTCTTTTTCCACTCTTTACTGAGAACTGTCTGTAAACAGGATTATAAACGGCGTTCGGTGTCTTTCCATTAACACAATGTTATACTAATAGCAAAATAATAACAAGGAAGCGACAGTTCGGTCATAAGTGTCGGTTCGAAGATCCAAATTTATGCGGAGTCCACACCGAGAACAATCCGCGAGATGCCCTTTTCTAATTATAATAAAAATTACATCGCATTCACGCAACTCACTGACAATTCCAAGCTTGTTCGTCGAGCTGTCCAGTGATCGTGGAATTCAGAACGATCGCGCAATGTTACTAACAATAAGTAAGACCCTGAATATATTTGCACACGCTTCAAATTTGCAAACAGATTTTTTGAAACTACAAACGTGAGCAATTTGCATTCGCTGATACCTGATCGCAGTTCGCCAATCACGCAATGTTACTAAGTAGGGATCTCAATATATTTGCGCATGCTTCAAATTTGCAAACAGATTTTATTGAAATTTCAAACGTCGATAATTCTAGTTCAAAAGTACTGATACCTAATCGCCAATCGCGCAATGTTACTAAGCACGGACCTTAATATATTTGCCGACGTTTTAAATTTGCAAACAGATTTTATTGAAATTTCAAACGTCGACAATTCTAGTTGACAATCACTGATATCTAATCGCAATGTTACTAAGTAGGGATCTCAATATATTTGCGCACGCTTCGAATTTGCAAACAGATTTTATTGAAATTTCAAACGTCGATAATTCTAGTTCAAAAGTACTGATACCTAATCGCCAATCGCGCAATGTTACTAAGCACGGACCTTAATATATTTGCAGACGTTTTAAATTTGCAAATAGATTTTATTGAAATTTCAAACGTCGACAATTCTAGTTGACAATCACTGATATCTAATCGCCAATCACGCAATGTTACTAAGTAGGGATCTCAATATATTTGCACACGCTTTAAATTTGCAAACAGATTTTATTGAAATTTCAAACGTCGACAATTCTAGTTCAAAAGTACTGATACCTAATCGCCAATCGCGCAATATTACTAAGCACGGACCTTAATATATTTGCACACGCTTTAAATTTGCGAACAGATTTTATTGAAATTTCAGACGTCGACAATTCTAGTTGACAATCACTGATACCTAATCGCAGTTCGCCAATTACACAACGTTACTAAACTCTCTATAGATTCTAAATACGTTCAAACACATTTTTCTCAAACGTTTACAATTGAAACCAGCTCGCTGTTATTTGATCGCAGTTCATCAACAGTGTGAACGCGGCATTACGTTCTGGTAGCAGGCACACAACAGAGACACGCGTCTCGCCGATCTTTCGTAAATCCACCAGTGATTCTTCGTACCATCGTAGACACGTCGTTTAAATAATGGATGATTGGATCGTTGATCGAGGAAAATTAACTCCTCTCCTGAGATATGCCGAAGATAGGGAGAAAGTCCATCGGTATCTTAACAGGTTCTCTCATAATTGTGTTTTTCCTTTTCAACGATTCCAAGGCGAGAAAAAGGCCTAAAAGAAACCTGAGGTCGCCGTAATCTATTTATCAATGGCGGAAGGATAAATTTTTCTTAATCCGAGTCAAGGCATCGAGGACTTTGTCGTAATTTATTTCGTTCGACAGCAGATCAATCGAATGTCGATGATCCGGTAGAACTCGTAGACTCGTTCGGACCTTTAGAAATGAAATTATCGAACTCCTTGGAAACTCTTCATAAGCTTTGCATTCATAGAGTTTTCTAAGTTTGTACCAAGATTAATCGGTAGTTTTCTATTGACTGTTTCTCGATAGTTACAACAACTGTGGATGTTAATAGATGTCGTCGAAGAACATAAATTGTCAATGTCAGTGATCTCCTTATTTCCATGTGAATTTTCATAGTCCCTCTTGTCGAAATTTTTTAAATAAAAAAAAAAAATATAAAAAAAACCTTTGCTTGCATTCTACTCGAGGAATTAACGATGATGTTGCGACAAATCTTCTTGGTTAGCAGTTGACAATGAAACTTGGCAGATGTGGGAGAAAATTCCACGGAAATCGAACAAGTAACTGGATCTTCTTTGCAAGTTGAAGACTTGAAAGCAGACACCTCGATCCGATCGTTGTGATACGATTTTGCTTTTCTTCTTCCTTCTCTCTCTCTTTTTTTTCCTTTCTCTTCTTCATATGAACAGATCTTCTTATCAATGCAATATTTTCTACGAAGGCGAGGCAAATTGCTTGACCGAGGATCGTTTTCCCAAACGTTCGTCGAGATTTCCCAAGTTTTATCGAGGATCCGGTTTGGGGTCGTAAAAGCTGAGCAGCGACGACTCGCGCACTTGCGCGTATATTTCTACGTAAATTGCAAAATTTATCGAACGTACGTTGAATTGTAAAATGTGAAATGTAAAAAACGGCTGGTTTTCAATATTTCAAGTGCGAGGAACGAGGATGTAAACGCTTTTCTCGCGAAAATTCGGCGAGTTTCGGATGGAGTCGCGCGGAATACCACCAAAATTCATCGTGTTCGGTGAAAATTCGACTTAACAATTCCCTTCGCTTCGCAAAAAATTTCGCCGATCGCCGATCCGCGAACGATCGTCCGTTTTACGATCGTTCGTGTCGGTTGGAAATTTTCAATCCCGGCGAGAGGTAAATCGGTAACCGGTTCCCTGAAAATTTCACTGGCGATCGCGTCCGATGCGCCTCGTGTTCGACTCGGATTGCGCGTTCGTGTTCGTTTCTTATTCCACGGCTACGACCGTGTGCCGATCGTAAAACGACGTTGGAAGACGCTCGAACGGAAGACGCTCCGTGCGCGCGTGCGCGATTGGCGTGAGACGTGGAAAATTTCGCAACAATTTCGAGAAGAAATTAAGGGAAACGAAGGTCTCTTGCTAACAAGAAAAGAAATTTCCTCGACAATTACAAATTCGAATTTACATAATTGAAACGATTTGAATCAAACGACCGGTCTGAGTTCGAGGTTTCCAAGTTTCAACGCTCGTTTAACTCTCTCGCCGAAAGGAACGAGAGAAACGTAAGTCTATTCTCCTCGTTATCTTCAAAGTCCAATCAAAATTTGGCGCACTTTTCCCTGTTTCTTTGTGTCAATTGGACAGTTTGCGTTTCTTAAAAGAAAATGTGCAAAAATGTAAACGAGAGAAACGTAAGTCTATTCTCCTCGTTATCCTCAAAGTCCAATCAAAATATGGCGCACTTTTTCCTGTTTCTTTGTGTTGAATGGACAGTTTGCGTTTAAAAAAAAAAAAAAAAAAAAAAAAAAAAAAAAAAAAAAAAAATGTGCAAAAATGTAACGTCTCGCGACCGGTCGTTTGACAATTTCAGATTTCAGTCTCTCTCGGAGAGAAGATAAGATACTCGTCTATCTAGGGGGGAGGAGTAGAACGTTGACTAACGGAGAACGTTGTATCTATGTAGATGCTGTCGATGAGCCCAGGAATGGAGGTGAGAAGCAGCAGTCATGGTGGCCTCGGTGGTGGTGATCCGAGCGGCGGAGGCGTAGCCGAGGTGAACGGCAACGGAGACGCAGCCACCGACGGGATTCAGGAAGTGATGGTGGCCGCGGCGAGGGACCGGGCGATACGAGCCGGAAGTGTCCGGCAGGATCTCGCCCTCGACCTACCACCGCGGCTGCAGCTCCCCGATGGCGAGGAACGTCCATACGGTGCACACACTACCTTCCATCTTCGCGATCCTGAACAGGTGAGCTCTCCACTCTCTTCCAATATTTAACAGGTCTCTCTCTCTCTCTTTCTCTCTATTATTTTCGTTCCTCCGAGTCTAGGTGGTTAGTTTCGACCGAGAGGCTAGACTAAACTCCTCTCTCTCTCTCTCTTTCTTCTATTTATCTTTCTCTCTTCGTAGCTCGATGGCAAGTTTGCATCGTTCTATTTGCATTTCCTGAGCATTTCCGTGGGAATAGTTGGCTGATTTAGGCGATGGTTTAAGAGGAATCGTGCGTCTAATTTCGGAGAATGTTTCAACTCGTTCGCCAATTTGTAACGTGTAAATTTTCTATTTTATACGGTTCAATTGAAATTGAACAATTGATTAGACGGTCGCAGGAAATTTCGATTTTATACAAACTGCAAACAAGTGGCAATTGTACGTAATTGTAAGGAATTTTGGTCTTGAGAAAGACCAAAAGACTTGAACGAGTTTTGTTAATCGGACGCGAAGTTTACGAATGGAAATCTGATACAGATGCGTAAATGAAAGTTACAACAAGGTTCAGGTCGAGCGCGAATTCGAGAAATAAAAGACTAGTTAGCGAAAATTACTACGAGCTACAGTCTGAACTACGATGAGTCCTAAAATAGTGAAACGTGTGAAACTTTTTTTTCTTTTTTTTCTTTCGCGCGATCTTCGTCCGTTACGATGCAAATTGGAACACGTTTCCTCTATCAAATTGCAAAAACGTAATGACGCAGATTGCCATTGGAAGGGGAAACCTGTTTCCCCGACATGCAAACACCGTCGCGCCGTTTTATTCGCGAAAATAACTTCTTGTATTTCTCGAACAGATCGTACAAATACAAGACTGGCTCGTAAAAGTTGTTCGGGCCCAGACGAAACGAAATGAAAACCTGAAAATCCATCTCGTCCGATCCAACTATAATTTTTTTCAGTCGAGAAAATGACGCGACAAACCTAAGTTATTTACGATTACGAGAAACATCGGTGATCGACTAATTGCTAATTACCGTGCGTGTGTATGTACGTTTTACTAACACCTACGTTTGCATCTACGATCTCTTGTAACGAAAGAAGCGAAAACTCGATGAAGAAGGGTGCAAGCATCGGCACGAGTCGCGTTCCACGCGAGCCAGCCAAGACGATAAGGGAAAGAGGGAAGGAGGGGAACAACGTTACCGAATAAAAGCGGAGATTTTTATCGTGGAGGGCACGGGACCGTGGAAAATTTACCCCGTTTTTACACGCGTTATTACTCGCGCGTAGCGTGGTTCGCGCCGCTCGAAAACGCGCTTATTAGCGGGGCCGGCTAATCGAGCCGCACACGTTCGATAAATGAAAACGGCGCCGGTTGGCGAAACGTCTGGATTCAGCCGGTCGGCTAATCGGCTAAAATTGCATCCCCTCTCCCTCCCTCCCCCCCCCCCCACTCTCTGCCGTTTAATGCCATTAATATGCCGATATTAAACTGCCGCCAGACGCGTAGAACGGTGAATGATGTCGCGTTGGAAAGGTTCGCGCCGATCGAGAAACTGCGGTGTCTTCTCTCGGATTGTCGTCGAGTGTTCAATTTTTTAGTCGAACTTCGACTCGGTGGATCCCGAACGATTGAAGAAAATTGAAGAAAGATTTGATAATTCGAGTAGGAACGAATTGTACAACAGGAGGAATTCATGGTGGCCCTGAAAATCTGATACACTTGAATGCTGGACTAGGAAATAGATCTGAAATGAAGGTAATTAACAAGAATCTAAAAGTGAAAACTGTATAGAACAGAGTTCTTTCTGAATATGTTAACAATTGCCTTGTAGCATCAGTTTCATTTTCAAGAAGCCTCGGATGAAAAACATTTTCTCATCGTCTCACGTGCCACAGAACACTCTGCATTTTTGACAAGGATATAAACACGACTTGCCAATTTTAAGTCTCGATTTTAAAGTCTGGCCTTTGCCACTCTAAAAATCTAAGAAAACGATGCTGCAATAGATAAAGTTCTTTCAGAAACGCGTTCATCTAGATTTGAAATGAGTCAGCGAGGAAAATTTGGAATCGGAGCCTCGATAAAAAGGGGTTGAAAGAGTCGGGATATCTTCGATGAAAGGAGAGTGAGGGGCAGTCTTATGCAATTTTCGCCGAAGATCGCGCGTCCGCCGAGCTACGAAGAAGGCGACAACCGGAGGATCGAGTTCTACCCTCGCTTCGAGGCTTCTGAATGCTGAGGCGCGCAATCGAGCCGAAATACGCGCGCCCTCGGCGCTGCCCGAGGGTCACGGGTTAGAATTTCAGTAATTCTACGCCCTTACACGTGTATACCTACGTCGCCATCCTCTCTCTTTCTCTCTCGCTCTCTCTTACTCTTTCTCCGTTTACTACCTCTTGCGTAATAATTTCTGAGATATTAGTTAATTTATATTGAATACTCTGTCTTTGACTTTCGACTCGAACTTGTGGCTAAAAAAAAGTGAAATTTTCGACAGATTTTTATCGAATACTTTAATTTTGACTTGGACTTGTAGCTAAATTAATTCAGAAATTTCCTACGAATCTTTATCGAGTAGTTTAATTTTGACTTGGACTTGTAGCTAAATTAATTCAGAAATTTTCTACGGATCTTTATCGAATACTTTAATTTTGACTTGGACTTGTAGCTAAATTAATTCAGAAATTTTCTACGGATCTCTATCGAATAGTTTAATTTTGACTTGGACTTGTAGCTAAATTAATTTAGAAATTTCCTACAAATCTTTATCGAATACTTTAATTTTGACTTGGACTTGTAGCTAAATTAATTTAGAAATTTCCTACGAATTTCTATCGAATAGTTTAATTTTGACTTGGACTTGTAGCTAAATTAGTTTAGAAATTTCCTACGAATCTTTATCGAATACTTTAATTTTGACTTGGACTTGTAGCTAAATTAACTCAGAAATTTTCTACGGATCTCTATCGAACACTTTAATTTTGACTTGGACTTGTAGCTGAGTAAATTGAAAAATTTTCTTTCTTACGAATTTCTTTTCCGAAAAGAGTTATTTTGATCTTATTTTTTGAAGGATAGAAAAACGTACTGTTGCATATCTATTTAAAAATAGATAGATCGTGAATGAAATAGATAGATCGTGAACACGGTGACGAAATCGATTTTCGATTTTTCTGGACAGGATTGATGATCCAGACGACATTTGATAAAAAAATCTACTTTTTCATTTTGATAATTTTTAGATATATATTGATTCTTCTAAGTGTCCGCCAATGTCGTTGAAATGAGAAAATTAATATAAACATGATAATAATTTTCGCTGAAACAGGCACATAAAGTGAGGCAAAAGTCTCGATTCTCATCGAATAATTTCTTCCTCTTTAAAATGTTCACGCAACTGCGTTTAATTTTTTATCCTGAATCTTTTTCCACGATGAAATATTCTGCCGTTAGCGATTCGTTTCGCGAATCTGATTTCAAGCAAGAGAACGATTGAGAACCTCTTACAGAAAAAGGGAGAAGTTTGTTGATCTATCCTTGAATATGTTCAGACCAGAGCCAAGAACTCGTGCACACGTTTTTTCATATTGACAAAAAGTCCCAAGCCGAGGAAACTAACAATTTCTTGCTCGTTTACCGTGAATCTTCATCGCTCAGTCAGTCTCAGCTTATTTTGACTGTTGTCCTCAGAAAATTCTCGAAAATCGGTTCACTCATCGGTGGGGGTAAAAAGGGGCGGTGAATCGCCTCGTGTTCGAAAACAATTGGTCGGCCAACTTGTATAAATAACAGGGACACACGGGCGGAAAGAACATTCTCGTTTTCACGCCGTTGGTGAATTATTGTTGTTGTGGTTATTTAAGAACATCGGATAACCTAGGCACTTGAAATAACGACTATGGCTAGTCTAAGAATTAAGAAACGGGGTGGTGGTGGGAGGTAAGGAAACATTGTATTCCCTCATAGATAATTCTTCTTTAATCATCATACAAATTTCGAATCTGAACTCACGGGCAGCCATGAGGCACGCACTTTTATTTTATCGTTTAATTTTTTTCGTTTCTTCTTTTTAATTTACGATTAACATCGCCTCTAAAAATTCGGAAATTCTTGTCAACATTCTTCGTCGGGAGATTCAGAGTTAACGAAATGTTTGTTAATGCTCCGAATGAAAGTATCAATCAAATTCAAATTTCAACGAATATAACTATAATAAGTATCAATCAATCGATTCTTCTCGGAGAAGAGCTGTCCGAAATAATTGAATCGTGATCGAACGAAAACTGAAGTGAAAACATTGTGTGTTTGCAGGAGAGCGAGATATACCAAAAGTGTGTTCGACCGCCACCAAACCGCACCGTATTCGACAGTGAGAGCCCACCGCCATATCGGAGCCAGTCGGCGTTGCTGGACGCCCCGGAACGACTGGTCCGATGCCACAGCGCGGGAAGCTCATTGCTGAGGGTATTCCGCAAGTTTCCAAGTCCGGGTAACTCGACACCGGCCGTAGTGGTGCCGCCCAGGAGGCCCACTTTGTCGAGTTACTCGGAATCCAGTAGTAACCTCAGCAATTTGTCGAGCCTTACTGTGGTAGCGTGCGAAGCTGACGAAGGTCAACAGCGTCAGCGGCAGCATGTTTGATCCCTAAAAGGATTGAGCAAGACTTTCCCGGCCATTGAGTGGACTGCCCCGAAACCAATGGTGTGAGTTCCTCTGGGATGTGAAGTATCTTAAAAACATCAATTAAAGAACTTCAGACGAGTGGACTGCCCCGAAACCAATGGTGTGAGTTCCTGTGTGGAACATTGAGTATCTTGAAAACATATGCAATTAAAGTAAAACTTTTAAAGAACAATTGAAGTAGTAGAATAAAAAAGGAAACTTCAGACGAGTGGACTGCCCCGAAACCAGCGGTGTGAGTTCCTGTATGGAACACTGAGTATCTCGAAAACGTATATCATGAAAGAACTTTTAAAGTTCATGAAGTAGTAGAATAAAAAAGGAAACTTCAGACGAACGGACTGCCCCGAAACCAGCGGTGTGAGTTCCTGTATGGAACATTGAGTATCTCGAAAACATATATCGTTAAACAACTTTTAAAAAACAGTTGATGAAGTACAATAAAAAAGAAAACTTCAGATCGAGTGGACTGCCCCAAAACAAGCAGCGTGAGTTCCGGTATGGGATAGCGACAGTTTCTTGAAATCATTTATTATCTTTCTCTTTTAAAAAAAACAGCAATGATTGAGCAAAACGAAGGAATGAAAAAGAAAACTTCAAACCATCAAGTGGACTGCCCCAAAACAAGCAGCGTGAGTTCCGGTATGGGATAGCGGCAAGTTTCTTGAAATGATGTATTATTTCCTTCCTTCAAGAACAGTTGATTTAACAAAAAAGGAAAATTAAAAGAATGAAAAAGAAAACTTCAGATCAAGTGGACTGCCCCAAAACAGGCAGCGTGAGTTCCGGTATGGGATAGCGACAGTTTCTTGAAATCATTTATTATCTTTCTCTTTTAAAAAAAACAGTTGATTGAGCAAAACGAAGGAATGAAAAAGAAAACTTCAAACCATCAAGTGGACTGCCCCAAAACAAGCAGCGTGAGTTCCGGTATGGGATAGCGGCAAGTTTCTTGAAATGATGTATTATTTCCTTCCTTCAAGAACAGTTGATTTAACAAAAAAGGAAAATAAAAAGAGTAAAAAAGAAAACTTCAGACCATCGAGTGGACTGCCCCGAAACCAGCGGTGTGAGTTGCGGAGATGGAACAGCGACAGGTCTCTAACAATGATTTGTCATTCCTTTTGTAAGAACAGTCAAAAGAAGAAAACCTCAGGGGGAAAAAAAAATGGGAGAAAAGCTTCAGCCAACACAACATTGATTTCCAACATTCTGATGCAAAGGGAAAAATATGGGGCGAGTAGACGACACCAGGCAGAAGGAACATCGCTAGCAGCGGAGTCGTCGATGCTCTAGTCGTCAAGGGATCCCTTGACACCGAAGTCACGAGGACGAGGGACTTCGGTTCACCAAGCTCACGACTTGTCCTGTGTTCACAATCTAACACGGGCACGACTGAAAATCTCGACAGCGAAACATCATCTGAAAAAGAAGCAGTTCATTGTTACGATCTCTTTTTCTAATCTCTACCGTTGCCAGCAGATGCAAGTCTAATTGACCTGGGTTTTTGTTGCTTTTTGCAAGAGCCACGAATGCCGAACAGAGTGAAGAACCGTACTGGTAAGTTGGCTCTTTTTCTAAATCCTAATTCTTATTGTCGAGTTGCCGCCGAATTTAACTTTGAACTTGATTTTTCCAATCTAGAAGAGCGAAGAGCTGTTGAGCGGAGATCTGCGTTCGTGGACCTGGGTGGCAACCATTTTAATTCAAACTGCAGCTGACGAAGATTCTCCTACGTCTTCAAATTTAACATTGGATGATTTCGCAATCTGGTTTTCTTTTCGAAAGGGCGGTTTTTCATCATGTCAAAGAAGAAAGAGAAGGGCATCCAACGGAAAACTTCAGCGACAAATGGCAATAAATGGACAATTTGGAAAAGACGCCGAGTCATTGTGACTCAGTTATTCACACTTTACAATTCAGTTATTTGAAGAAAAAGAAACGGAGAATGGATCGACGACATCAAAGGGCATCAGAGTTTGGCAGCGGATTTTGATATCAGCTTGATGTCATAGGTTTGCCAAAGGTACCTTATGAAAATCGATGCTAAAAAGACCGCCTCAGTCAGCAGAACAAGCTAAGAAGAGCTTTGGCAGCCTTTTCAAATGACAACTTCCAGGACCACGAGGAGGGGAGGAGGGGGGGGGGGTCGATTGTAGCTTCGCTAACAGCTCCCCCCAAGGAATTTCTAGTCGTCGAGGGGGCCCCGTAAAAATGAAGCCGCAGGGATGAGGAACTTCCAACTTGGTTTTTTTTTTTTTTTTTGGAAAAACCACGGAATACGGACAACTGCGTTCGTAAATTTGCATCAACCGATACTTCTCCCGAGAAGACTTTGGAATTATTACAATTCTCAGAGATGATGACGATTCATCAACATTTTAATTGAGGAAATTCACGTGAGCCGAGATGGACCATCGAGGTACTGGATGAGTGGAGAGAATAAAACAATCACCCAAACGACGAGATGAATAACAATAAGAAAAGGCCTATCAACAAAGAGGGAATAGAAGACGGTACGAAGCAGTCAACCGATATAAATTTGAAATTACGATCCTTGTACCATCTAGATAAACTAAATCCACGACAACTGGGGGAGAAGCTGATCGTCGATTAGCGTGGTGAGTCAGTGATCGGAAATAATGGACAAAAGTGCGTCCGTTTTGTTGAAAATGCAGCAACAAAATCATCGATATTTAATACTTCTGATCATCGAGTATATATATATGTAATATGTATATATATATATATATATATCTTGTTTTTTGGAAGATTTGTTTCTCTCATATTGTTAAAAAAATTATTTATTGGCGATAGTTCGCGATGTGGCGTGTTCCTGGTGGGGGGCACGCGACAGAGCGAAGGAAACGTGAAGTAAGCGGGCGAATCCGCGACACACACTCTATATAGAATAAAGTGAATGTATCTGACGTATGAACGACGAGTCAAATTGTATGCGTGTGCCATTTGTGAACGCGTCTGTGTAAAAAGAAAAATAAGAAAACGGGTCCAGGCGAGAGAGATAGAAGGATGAGCAAAGGGGGGGTTGAAAAATAGAGGGAGGAGCGGGTGGAAATATTATTGAGAGAAACGAGAAGTGCGACGAAAAGTGTGAGATGAGAAAGAGACAGAGAAAAAAGAAAAAAGGATGGTTTTCTGAATGAATGACTGCAGCGCAATTCTACGTGGCAACTTTGTAAGTATGCGCGTGTGAACAAACCGATTTCACAATTATAAAATAAGTTAATACAGAAAAATGGGAGAAAAGAACAACATGGCGAGAATGATGAAACTTTGTAAATATTAGGTTAGGTAGTTCAATATCAATATAATTACTGCGACTAAAAAAAAAAAAAAAAAGAAATAAATCTTTACACCATCGCATAAACACAGTTAGACAGGCCGTGCGAAATCGCCCTGGGACACGCGTGTTACGCTTTTCGACGTGTTGGTTCTTCTGGACGCGAATGAAAACGGCGGAAAGAAGAAAAAATGGAAAAAAGAGGAAAACTGAATCGTTCTCGAGCGTCGTGATCGATCCTTCGATTTCTGATCGAGAAGGCAAGAATACCATCGACTCATCCTCGTCGTTCCTCCAACTCTTTCTTCTTCTTTCTTCTTCTTTTTTTTTTTTTTTTAATTTTTCTTCTTCCGGAGGAGAGAAAAGAAAAACGCTTTCAGACTGTTCTCGCGAAAGAAGAGAAGAGTTTTCTTCCCTTGGCGCGAGAACAGATCGGTACTCACGTTTTAGTGATCGATATAACGAGTCGAGGAAGTCAGTGTCGCGACGTGAGGAACGAGTCGTGAGCGAAAAGGCCATGAAAGGGGGAGGGAGGAGGGGGGGGGAGGTAAAAACGATTGGAAATCGAAGGAAGCCTCGGTGCAATCGAATAATCAATCGCCGCCGCGTCTCGCCGTGTTTCGAATGGCTCGCATCATGTTTTATATTTAACGCTGCGTTTACTATTAATTCAGATATAGATAAGGCTTCAGTTTCTTTCACAGAAGAGAGAGAGAAAGAGAGAGAGAGAGAGAGAGAGAGAGAAAAGGGACGAAGATGAAAAGAAAGAAAAAAATAGAAACGAAAAAAAAAACAGGACGAGAGATCTGCCTTGACGACGAAACCGAATGTCGATGACCGGCCTCGTTTCCCTCCGTTCTCTTCGAATTACTGACCGAAAGGGTTCTTCCCGTTCGGAGATTGCCGTGGTGGTTCTGTCGAATGAAAGGGTTAGGGTTTACGATAAACTTGTTTAGATTTAAATATGTCCGACGGTGCGTTAGGTGCATCGTTGGACGTAACTATTAACCTGTTAACTGTGGCAATTGCGACTCTTAAATCTTTCGGGCGACTTTTTTTTAATTCAGATGATTTTCTTTCGCGTTCAAAGTTTGAAAATGGTAAGACTTTTCTAAACAAAGGGACATTCGACGGAAAAGGGAGCGAATTGAGCTTGGACGGTGTGCACAACAATGGCTACGACAGAAGGAGTCACGATAGAGGAGCTGAGAATCGAGATCGAAAGGCTTCCACGAGAATTAGATTTAACTTTTACGGTCGGCTCAATACGGCCTCGCTTTACTCGAAGAGAAGTCCGTCTTGCAACAAAGATGCAACGATCACGAGGCTCTCTACGAAAACACGAAACACGAGTTAAAAATCACGCACGAGGCTTTAGTAAAATTTCAAATAACCACAAAATTAACTACAAAAAGTGGTATAAAACAAGAGGAGACGCTTCTTAACGAAAGTGCTGCAAGAGAAACATCTCTTCAGACACAGATCATTGAATTGGAAAATAAAATCAAACAGAACATTTTAGCAAAATTTCAAACAATCACAAAATTAACTACGAAAAGTGGTATAAAACAAGAGAAGACACTTTTTAACGAAAGTGCTGCAAGAGAAACATCTCTTCAGACACAGATCATTGAATTGGAAAATGAAATCGAACAGAACATTTTAGCAAAATTTCAAACAATGACAAAATTAACTACGAAAAGTGGTATAAAACAAGAGAAGACGCTTCTTAACGAAAGTGCTGCAAGAGAAACATCTCTTCAGACACAGATCATACAATTGGAAAATGAAATCAAACAGAACATTTTAGCAAAATTTCAAACAATCACAAAATTAACTACGAAAAGTGGTATAAAACAAGAGAAGACGCTTTTTAACGAAAGTGCTGCAAGAGAAACATCTCTTCAGACACAGATCATACAATTGGAAAATGAAATCGAACAGAACATTTTAGCAAAATTTCAAACAATCACAAAATTAACTACGAAAAGTGGTATAAAATAAGAGGAGACGCTTCTTAACGAAAGTGCTGCAAGAGAAACATCTCTTCAGACATAGATCATTGAATTGGAAAAACAGAAATCAAACAGGTACAGATTTTTTTCGGAAGATATCGAAATGAAAATTTTACAGTGTTTATATTCTCGTCATTTGATATTTTTTATTTCAGTTGCGCCATGAACTGGAACGTGTGCAAGCAGAACGTGATCATGCATTACAAGAA